AATTCTGGCTTAAGTAATGGATTTTGGGGTGATGCTATGTTAACTGCTTGTTATATTCTTAATAGAGTGCCTAACAAGAAAAATAAGATTACCCCATATGAACTTTGGCATAAAAGAACACCCCAACTAAGTTATCTTAGGGTATGGGGTTGTTGGGCAATCGTGAGATTACCGGAACCTAAACGAAAAATGTTAGGTGAAAAGGGGGTAGAGTGCATATTTATTGGATATGCTGAACATAGTAAATCATATCGATTCTATGTTATTGAACCGAATGACTCAATTGCGGTTCACACTGTTATGGAGTCTAGGGATGCTCTTTCCGATGAGAAGCGGTTCACTTCTATTCCTAGGCCAAAGGATGTTGATCCCGGTCCAAGTAATTCAAACTTACATGAATTGGAAAAGGATCATGATAATGAGCCTAAAATAAGACGGAGTAAGAGGGCTAGAAAAGAAAAGTCATTTGGTCCCGATTTCCAATTATATTTGGTTGAGGGATCAAGAGAGACCCTTGAAACTCAAACACTATATTGTTATAGTGTTGAGGAGGATCCTAACTCTTTTAAGGAGGCAATGAAATCACAAGATGCTTCCTTCTGGAAAGAGGTCGTGAATGATGAAATGGATTCAATCATGGGCAATAATACTTGGTTCTAAGTGATTTACCACCCGATTGGACACCAATCGGTTGTAAATGGATTTTCAAGAAGAAAATGAATGTAGACGATACCATTGATAAGTTTAAAGCTAGATTGGTTGCACAAGGCTTTAAACAAAAACATGGTATCGATTACTTTGATACATATGCACCTGTAGCTAGAATAACTACCATAAGATTGTTTTATCGGCTATTCACAATCTTGTTATTCACCAAATGGATGTCAAAACTGCATTCTTAAATGGTGAATTGGAGGAGGAGGTGTATATGAAACAACCTGAAGGGTTTGTTGTTAAAGGACAAGAAAAGAAAGTTTGTAAACTTGTTAAGTCCTTGTATGGTCTGAAACAAACACCTAAACAATGGCATCAAAGGTTTGATGAGGTGGTGCTGAAAAATGGTTTTAAAATAAATCAATCAGACAAGTGCGTATATAGCAAATTCAATTAGCATGGTAATGGTGTCATTATTTGTCTATATGTGGATGACATGCTCACATTTGGTACTGATTTGAGGCAAGCGAAAGAGACAAAAGCTTTCCTCTGTTCAAACTTCTCCATGAAAGATATGGGTGAAGCGGAAGTTATCCTTGGAATTAGGATAATTAAGGAAGGTGATACTATCACCTTAACACAATCTCATTATATAGAGAAAGTGTTGAAAAGATTTGGAAGTTTGGATTGTTCATCGGTTTCCACTCCCATGGATCCTAGTTGGAAATTAGTTCCAAATAGTGGGAACGCTGTATCACAACTAGAATATTCTAGGGTAATTGGGTGTTTAATGTATGCAATGACTAGCACCCGGCCAGATATTTCATTTGCGGTAGGCAAGCTAAGTAGATATACTAGTAACCCTAGTATTTTCATTGGCAAGCCTTGAGGCGAGTGCTGAAATATCTAAAGAAAACAATGATTTTCAGCTTATGTTACAAGAGTGAGCCCTCTATATTAGAAGGTTATACGGATGCAAGTTAGATAACTAATCAAGAAGATTATTCATCCACAAGTGGATGGTTATTCCTTCTTGGAGGAGGTGCTATATCAAGGGCATCTAAGAAACAAACTTGTATCACGGACTCTACCATGGCTTCAGAGTTTATAGCTTTAGCATTAGCTTGTAAAGAAGCGGAATGGCTAAAGGATTTAGTGTCAGAGTGTAACACCCGGCCCCGCAGGACCCGAGGTAGTTACTTCGGACCAATAGTACTGTCCTCACAAACCACCACAAGCCTTTACCGCGCACTTTGTCCTCACTCATGCGCGCCCTGAGAAACTTCCCAGGGGGTCACCCATCCCAAGACTACTCCCGAGCAAGCACGCTTAACTTTGGAGTTCTTAGGTAATGAGCTCCCTTAAAAGGAGATGCACCTCTGTTGGTATGAGTAGTACTATTAATCCATTTATATTAAATCTCAAGTATTACAATCACCCCCACTTTAGGAACGCAACGTCCTCGTTGCGCCCATAAACCAATCTCAAATCTTTATCAAATCCCAGAATCTTCCCCCGCTAAGTGCCCGCCCGATATCCAACGGGTCAGCTCACTGTCGCAGGGTTGCTCTGATACTACCTGTAACACCCCGGCCCCGCAGGACCCGAGGTAGTTACTTCGGACCAATATTAGTGTCCTCACAAACCACCACAAGCCTTTACCGCGCACTTTGTCCTCACTCATGCGAGGCCTGAGAAACTTCCCAGGGGGTCACCCATCCCAAGACTACTCCCGAGCAAGCACGCTTAACTTTGGAGTTCTTAGGTAATGAGCTCCCTTAAAAGGAGATGCACCTCTGTTGGTATGAGTAGTACTATTAATCCGTTTATATTAAATCTCAAGTATTACACAGAGTACCGATATGGTCTAAACCCGTGGCTCCAATATCAATCCATTGTGATAGTGCATCAACTCTATCGAAAGCTTATGACCATGTGTACAATGGTAAGTCAAGACACATAGGAGTGAGACACAACTATGTTTGGGAACTTATTAGTTCTGGAGTTGTTGTGATTGAATTTGGCGGATCCTTTTACAAAGGCGATGCCAAGGGACATGGTGTACAAAACTGCAAAAGGGATGGGGTTAAAGCCCTTAGAAAATAACCACAAGTGAAAGAAAGCGCAATTCAACGTCTAGTACAACGCTAGATCTTGAGTTCAATGATGATGAGTAAGTCACTTCGTGGTTGAAGCACTTTTGAATTATAATCATCCCGAAGTAAGTGCTTGAGTCTGCAATTTGTAATGAGGTTGACTATGTCTTAATAGATCTTTTGATAAGTGTTTGATTGCAGAACACAGTTGAAAAGACCTACCTATGTGAGCTAGAATTGCGGCCGATTCACCAAGTTTAAGGCTTTACTTGTTGGAGCTCATGAATGGATATGGACACAAGACCGTTAATAGTGTTAAGTTTCTAAGTGAAATTGTATAAAGACTTGTGTGTGTAATATCTTCAGTATTTCAAAGTGGTTATATAGTTCAAGGCTTAGTCTACTATTATGATCCGAAATATTGTAAAGAATATTGCACTAAATGAAAGTTCAATCATTACGACACTTTCAATTATGCATAAGTCTTGATAAATGGTCTATTTGGCAAGGATTGAGTATATTTATTTTCAATAAATGGAGGAGGATTGTTGGAGATTTATTGGAAATAAAGCTCAATTATTAATTTACATGGTCCTTAATCATTTTATAAATAATGTGATTTATTTAAATAATGATATTTTATTATAATGATTATTATATATATTATGAGAACGTATTGTGCCCTATGATCTCATAATTATTACAATAATATCACTTTATTACATTTGCACTTATGAGCTTTTTGCAAATGTTAAGTTTTATTTAAAAGTGGTTATCCATATACGTACTTTGGTCCAACACCTTTTGGTGTTCAATATGTTTAAACTAAATTACATGGAAATGATTTTAATAAAATGTACATGACTTTTATGAAGAGCCGCACCTATTCGTTTATTTGAAGCCTTTTTCATTATAAATAGCAGGACCATGTTGGATTGAGAAACGGATGAAAATTAATTATTTTTTCAATTTTCTCTTGCCTTACTAAATACTAATATGTGCAGCGTTAGTATTAAAGTGTTTAGACCATATTATATACAAATCACTTGTTCGGTGGTATTTTGTCAGTAGCCAAAATACACTGTACACTTTCTTTTTATCCCAAAAGTTCTATCTTGTAACCCGGTTACCGTGATAAAGGTAGATAGTAAACTTTTAGGAAAACGTATTTTATACGTGATTAGAAGTGATATCCGGTCCAGCCATATTTCTACACCCTAATATATTATTTTTATCCTCCAGTTCTAACAGGACCGAGGTAGGTTGTAGGGTAGGGGTGGTCGGGTGGGGGGTAGGGTAAGGGGTAAGATACGAGGATGGAGGTAGTGGGTAGGGTGGGGTTCGGGGTCGAGGGAGTAGGGTTGGGGTGGGGGGTAGCGGGTATATGGGTAACAATAGGGTAAAGACAAGAAGTAAATTCGGAAACTGAAAAAGCTTAAATTGCCAGTTAATTAATATATGGGGATGATATGCTTATTCAGCGGCGTTTTAAGCACCTCTTTCGGTTAGTAAGCGGCTTTTTAAGCAGCGTGCATGTTTACTTCACCTCTCTTACTAATCTAACTATAACTTTAGCAGCGAAGTAAATACCTTCTTAATTTTTTTGAAGGGGCCAAAACCCCTTAGTTGGTTTGTGTAACAGATAATATACAATTTATAAATATACAATTTATAAATATACAATTTATAAATATATACTCCCTCCGTTCTTTAATAAAAGTCCTTCTTTCCTTTTTGGGACGTTTTTTTTATTTGTCCTCCTTTCCATTTAAGGAAAGTTTTTACTTTAAATATATACCCCCACTTTATAAATATATACCCCCACTTTTATTACCATTACCCCTTTCTCTTTCCTACTTTTTCATTTACCCACTACTCATTACACCTTTTACAATACCCCTACTATTTTCCTCTTAAAACCCGTGCCAAAGCCTAAGAGGACTTATATTAAAGAACGGAGGGAGTAATTTATAAATATACTCCCTCCGTTCCCAAAAATACTTCCCACTTTCCTTTTTGGGCCGTTCCCAAAAATTCTTCCCACTTTCCCTTTTTGGACAATTTGTGTGGCTCACATTCATTTTACCTTTTTCTTACACAACCACAACCACACATTTCCACTTTATTCCACTTTCTTAATAAGCGTGCCAATTCAAACCGGGAAGAATTTTTAGGAAAACGAGCAATTTAGGAGAAATAGTACATTTAGGAGAAATAATTGTAGGGAAAACGAGCAACCAAGAAAATAAATTGACAACTGCTGAAAGGCAAATAAACACCACAGTCACCAGCCATGGCTGCAATTTCTGCAGGTAGTGGGGGTCATCTCCCAAATCTCAATTGCTCAGCTATCAGAAACCCCAACCCCTCATCAGTATCTCTATTTCTTGGCGAGAAACCCAAGCCCAGATTAAAATCCTTCAGTCTCACCTCAAGTCCTCCTTCAAGAGCAATAAATCATGTCGTTTTCGCGCTTGGAGGGGAAAGCTTCAGTTTTTTACACGATGTTTTCCTGGGTGTTGGGGTTGGACTTCCGTGTACGGTCATGCAGTGTGGGGATGTAATATACAGGAGCACACTACCCAAATCCGATGGGCTAACAATTACTGTTCCTGGTTTGATTTTAGCTTTGGGTACCCTGTCTTACCTCTGGGCTACCCCTGGTGTGGCACCTGGATTTTTCGATATGTTTGTTCTTGCATTAGTTGACAGGCTGTTTAGACGTAGTTTTAAGAAGGTCCGTGCTCAGATTGATGAGGTCTAGTTTACTCCTTTATGGGGAATTTTAATTTCTCTTGTTTTGATTGTATGGTGCTCTACATTTGCAGGATGATTTTGTTTTTGAAAAGAAGTTGGGAGACGGAGCTTTCGGTTCTGTTTATAGAGTTTCCTTGGCAAAAAATGCATCATCAAAGGTGAAGGTATCTGTATGATAAAACCCCCCCTGTGAACTTCAAGGCATAGAAAATTTGAGTTTTTCAGTAACATGCTTTATGCATGGAAAGTAATTAACTTTCTACTCATTTACTCTGTATTTGCCATCATAACGAACACACATTGAGCTTGGATGGAAAGTGTTCGTGATTTGTGATTGGTTTCGTTTCGATGCTTAAAGGACAGTGCTTTAGTTTTGAAAAAGGCAACTGAATTTGGAGCAGTGGAAATATGGATGAATGAACGTGTTAGAAGGGCATGTGCAAATAGTTGTGCTGATTTTTTGTATGGGTTTCTTGAGGTATTTATCCCATGCTGGTGTAAGCAATCATATCATTTAGATCAGAAGCTGTGTGCAAACATTTGAAATAGCTAAATGGCTCATCTCTGCTGTTTCTTTGCAGAGCTCTTCAACAAAAGGAGCAGAGTATTGGCTCTTATGGCACTTTGAAGGGGAATCCACTCTTGCTGATTTGATGCAGAGTAAAGAGTTTCCATATAATGTTGGTGCTCTTGCTTTCACAATTTCATGCCGCGCTTTGATATCTTTCCTATTCAACTGAAGCGTTACCTTGACTACATGATAATTAAATTAATACTCTCTCCGTCCCAAAATGATTTGCAAAGTCAATTTTTCTTGGTCTACAGTTTCACTTTAAATACTTATTTAACATATTAATTTTTTATTATATTCTAATTTAGATTTTGCGACTTTATAGAACATTCAATGTAGTTTCTGAATATGTAAGCTTTTATTATTAAACCAATTTAACTATCTGCATGGATGATTTAACGTTATCGTTACTCAACCAAAACCCGCAAATTGAAATTCAATTCGGGTCAAAGAAAGCAATTAAAAGGAAACATTATGACCAACCCTAAGTCAAACATACATTTGCCTAGCTTTATTTTTTGTTGGGAAAATGTGACCTTTTAAGAATATATTTGTGAAAGGATGTTGTACGCCTTCTCATGATAATGATTCCAAGTTCCCAGCTATGGGGTCCTAAATAATCCCAACTATAGGGGGTGCATTCCAAAAATTAATTGGTGGCTTGCATAATTGGTGGATGTCTTAACAGTTAACAAAGTCATGCATACTAGTTATACACTTTCTATCTTTTCTTGATGCACATTATAACTTCTGGGTTGTTACAAAACCGTCACTGTTTTTGTACTTAGATGCACGCCGAAGGTAGTCAAAGTCGTGATGCGCACTCAAGGCGCTAGAGTACTCCTATCAGACATAAAATTAAAATTAAAATTTATAAAAATTTGTAAAATATGTGATACTTTTTTGTTTTTACTAATACAGTGCCTAGTAATTGATCCTAATATCTAGTTCACTACTCAACCTTCGAATGTGTGTAACTACAAAGTAACAACTTAATTACTTAAGTTTCTCGCACACATAAATAACCAATTATTCATCCTTGGAGTCCTGGACCTTAATTGTTCTAAAAGATCACTTATTAGTATTTTGAACTTTCCAGCTCCATCTCATAATTGCTAAAAAATGAAATACTAAAATAAAGCCTCATGGTGTTTATATTTTTGAATGGATCCCTTGCATCCCCAATAATGATAAAACCTTATAAGTTATCATAGGATTTCAAAGATTTTTCATCCCTCTGTTTCATTTTAATACTTTATATATGATGTGGTAGAATGGTAGAATGGTACAATTTGGGGCAATGCTGGAACAACCACAGAGAAGAAAAGATGTGGTTGTGTGGCAGGAATGAGAACTGTGGTAATGGAAAGTGATTTCATACGATCATACAAATACGAAACAGGGGCAGGATGGCTAGGATTAAGCCGTTTAATACTTAGTGTTTTGACTGACAAGGGGTGGGGGAGTCTTCCCATAATTTCATTTCATTTTTCCGTGGAAAGTTCCTAATAAAATGCAGAGTTTCGTTTCTAATAATTTTGTTTGTAATCCAAATAAGATAAATTAGTAAACCTCTTTCATCCACTTTGTATTGTAGTCTTGTGTTTTTTGAGATATGTTTTCAACAATGAAAGAAAATAGATTGAAGTTTAATATGGTCATATTTGAAAAAAAGACTTTACAGAGTTAGTTTGGCATGAAAGTAAGCTGAATGTAACATTGAAAAAGCACTTGGTCCAGGTGGTACTATCAATGAGGCCAAGAGAAATTACCCTGTCTTGTGTTAAACATTTAAGTAGTTTAAAACACTGGCTTTACTTGATGGTTTCAATTTCCAGGTTGAAGCATTTATTCTTGGAAATAATCAGGACATGCCTAAGGGGTTGGAAAGGGAAAACCGCATCATTCAAACAATAATGAGACAACTGCTATTTGCATTAGATGGTCTTCATTCAACCGGAATTGTCCATCGTGATATTAAACCTCAAAACATTATTTACTCTGAAGGTGATTGTCTTATAAGGATGTTTTCTTTTGGACTGTTTTCAGCCACAGACCAAACCAGACTTCCATAGCTATAAAATACACAGAGACCAAACATTTACCAGACCAAACATTTACCAGACCAGACCAGCAAATTTCAGTCCATAAGAAAACATCCTAATTACTTCGATAGAAGTTCTCATAACGATGGGCATGAAAATTGATATTGATTAATCCGAGCAGGTTCCCGCACTTTCAAAATTATTGATCTGGGAGCTGCAGCTGATTTAAGGGTTGGCATAAACTATATTCCAAAAGAGTTTCTCTTAGATCCAAGGTAACTTGTTACAGAATAAAGAGAGAGAAAGGTGGTGGGAGGAGTTTTCCTTTACATTCTTCAAATATTTGCGTTGAAGTTTCATCAAAGCGTGTGATGCAGTAATGGTGAATAACATGAATTATGATAAGTTTTGATATTACAATATTTGGTTTTTATTAGTTCATTTTCTTCTAATTATTATTTAATTTCCTAGCATTAATTATGAGATAAGTATCATTATAAGATATTGTACATATTTCCTTAGTTAGGTTAATCTAGGCCTATAAAAAGTAATCATATGTTGTATAATGAATTCAAGTGTATAATTAAAGTTTTCGCGTTGTTATCAGAGGAGGTCTTTTCCCTATGTTGTTTTCCGGCTGACTCTTTATACGTCGATTTCTATGCGCCCGTAAGTCATTAGCCTGGTTGCCCATCTTGAAGTCCAATGGCATTGGCTCATGGCCCATGGCCGTGTTAACGTGGTTGTACACCTTGTAGTCCAACCCAGGGGTCTGTGGTTTTAAGTGTTTTTGCCGCAATTGGAGTTTCAGTTTTAAAGGAGAAGATAGTTCGATTTGCAAGTGAGAGGCCTATTACTTTCAAAATGGTCCCGGTTTTCCGCTTAAGAGGAATATTAGAAGCCCACAGAGAAAATTAAATGGACCGCGATGGGTTAACAAGAATGCTTTAAATCAATTTTCTAGTTTAGTTTGACTTAAATGTCTTATTGAGTCATGCCAATCTAGGCCTGAACATCAGTGAAACCTAAAATCCTATAAACCTGCATTGCTCTACTATAACCTCACCAATGCACTTTTCTCCCGCTAGAGCACTTAGTATAATGTGAATAAAAGGTAAACAGTTATTGAAACTAATAACCCCCAGGAATTTAATAGCTGTGTAAAGGATTGCTTTGTAAGTAACTGGTATGTTTGATCCTTTCACAGAAATTGACATTACTATGCTCTCTGGTTTTTCCCCTTTGTCATCCAGATATGCGGCACCTGAACAATACATCATGAGCACGCAAACCCCTTCCGCACCTTCTGCTCCTGTAGCAACTGTACTCTCTCCGGTTCTGTGGCAGGTTCGGCAACTGAAAGGATCTATTTGTTGTTGAAACTAAAACACCTTTTGATTTCATGATTGCTGATATCTTGATACAGTTGAATCTGCCAGACAGATTTGACATCTACAGTGTTGGACTCATATTCCTTCAAATGGTAAGCATAAAACAATTTGTTTACAAGTCATCCGAAGTTCCACACATACATCTGAATGCACACATCATGTGTGTTATAATTGCAACTTGTAGTATTCCAAATACAATTTCTCTAGTACAATCACATCCTTCTTTTTAATAGGCATTTCCAGGGCTCCGCAGTGACAACAGTCTCATAAAATTCAACCGCCAACTTAAGAGATGTGGCTATGATTTAGTGTCATGGAGAAAGACAACCGAACCTCGTGCAGGCCCTGAACTACAAAGGGGTTTTGAGTTGTTAGACCTTGATGGTGGAATAGGATGGGAGCTATTGACATCAATGGTTCGCTATAAAGCTCGCCAAAGAATCAGCGCAAAGGCAGCCCTGGCTCACCCTTATTTTGACAGAGAAGGTCTTCTGGCCGTGACATTCATTCAGAACCTGAAGCTGCAGTTCTTTAGAGTCACACGGCAGGATTACGGTGAAGCTGCCAAGTGGGTTATTCAACTAATGGCGAAGTCAGGGACACTTCAAAATGGAGGCTTTACGGAAGCTCAACTGCAGGATCTCAGGGTCTGTTAATTTTTCTTCTAAATTTTGTCAAACTCTTAGTTATTTAGACTTAGATATTTATCTAAGAAGCTTATCTAATATGAGGAATAGATGACGATCTTATCTATAAATATATAAAAATGCATTTACCTATTGTGAGATGGCATAACATATTAATAGTGGCTTGATGGAGTACACCATTCTTGAAGTCGTGTGCATGGTGTTGAGCCGGTTGGAGCTTAACATGCTTTGAGAATTCATCCTAAAAGGCCAATTTGATAAAATCTGTAGTTCAAGATCTTACTATCTTAGACACAACTCTATTTTTTCATAACTGTATGATGTTAGATTTTTAATAGGGAATTTGAGTTTGTACCCCACTTTTTGGGTGATATTGGACTTTGCACCCCAATTTGAAAAAACTTTGATTTTGCACCCCAATTTGAAAAAACTTTGATTTTGCACTCCAACACATAACACTTTGTGAAGAAAATTTTCTAAATGGGGTGCAAAGTCAAAGGATTTTGAAGTGGGATGGGGTGTAAAGTCAAAGTTTTTTCAAAATGGGGTGCAAAGTCCAATATCATCCAAAAAGTGGGGTGCAAAGTCAAATTCACCCTTTTTAATACTCCGTAGTAATTTTACGTGAATTTATAATGTTAAATATTTTTATATAATTTCTATCAATTGCAACGGAGTCAAAGACACTATTTTTTGGCTTGAGAATATGATAGAATAAAGCAAAATGACTCACTAAATTGTTTGTGCTTCGTTGTTATGAAGTAGCAGTCGGTCCATGCAATTTTTCGATGTGATTTTCATCATGGGTCATCCGAAAATAGTCTCTCCTTGCTTTAGTACATGAGAGTAAGGCTGCATACATCTGACCCCTCTTATCCCCCTTACCCCACTGTAGGTGGGAGAGCCTTTGTGGCACTGGGGTAATGATGATGATGATGAGAAATATTTTAAAGTTTTGGACTTTCATGCTACTAGACCCACAATAGCATTGATAATGAAGGTGATAGTGATTTAAACTTGGAAAATTGCTCTTTTATATTATTTGTTTGTTTTGCAGGAAAAAGAGTCTAAAATGAAGCTGAGTGCACAAAGAAATGTGCTTTCATCGCCCATTCGGCTTCAGAAGAGGATAATTAGAGCAAGGAATGGGAGTATTGATGAGCTTAAACAAAGAAGGAAAAGCTTGTGGTGGAGCAAATGGATTCCAAGGGAAAAACCAAAACTGTAAATACATAGAGTTCTTGTTTCCTGTTTTCTTGTGTATTATAATCCTTGTAATGTGCAAACGGCTCTTGATTCTTATTCACAATAATTAGTTTGAATATCAACCAGTAACACTTGTGCCATAACCTCCAAATGAGGAGAGACTTCTTACGTGTTTGCCACTTGAACAAGATAAGCTCAGAGCATTGCGTATTTGCGTACAACTTCCAACTTCTCTAACTACTATGGATGTTATTGGAGGACATCACTCTTGTGTGTTGAGCTGAGCTCTTGCGTGTATGAGTATAATGGGTGCCACTGTGCAAGGATGTATGCTATAAGGCACTAAGCCATCAAATTTCAAGGGAGATCAGTGATAATTTTCCTAATAAAAATTCACTTTGATAAAATAATATATGTTTGAAATTGTAAGTGATATATGCCTGATGTTTAAAACATTTTGTGTAAGATTGGGCAATTATAACTTTTGAGAACTCTCCATTTATCATTAATATAATGTCATGCTAACATTGTGGTAATAAACCCTATCTTTTTTTTCTTCATGCTTCCTCCTAGGCCTAGCCTCCTAGGTGACAACATACAACTATACAAGAGTAGGGGCTCAATTGTAAACTCTAAGCATTGAAGATCAATTATAAACTCTCTAAGCTTGAAGCTCAATTATAAACTCTCTAAGCTTTGAAGTCTTACATCCCTCTATCACCTCAAGCTTCATCATCCATGTTTCTCTTCCTTCATTGCAATTATGTATGCAACACGTTTCTCAATCTTTCACCCCATACTCTCATCCCCTCTTTAGTCAGTGCTTTATAATATGCCACCATTGCATACTCGGTGATCTACGTCGCCCATCATGTGGCTAACTATCTCTGGTCATTTAGATGTAGGCCAAGAAGCACTCCGACTTCTTCCTTTATGGGTTCTAAGTTTGCATGATCCTTAGGTGATTATTCATTGTTTACTTCTTTGAAGAAGCGTCCTATTGAAAAATGGTTCCTCTCTTAGATTAACTATCATCCAATATGGCATTTTCAATCTCCAATGCAACATTATCTTTAGCAATCTTTTCCCTTGAAGGATAATCTTCTACGGCATACATGGTTTGAGTCCTTTTTAGTCCCTAACAGATTTCTGGGAATGACTTTTAGTTTGTTGTTGCACTATATTCCTACGTTCCTTTTCATTGGGAAACTCCTAACTACTATCCATGATTCAGTTGATCAATTAGTCCACTCTTAGTCTTTCGTGATCCTCTCCCACGATTTCTTCATTAAGGTTCATGATCTTAAATTTGCTACTGCTGTTTGAGATACTTGCAACATCATGTTATGTTAGTCAGTCTTCCCATGTCTATCAATTTGAGATGATTGTTTTTTATATCAAAAGGATGCAATATTGATACATGAATCATTGTTTATGTGATGTTAATATTATTGGTGATAATCTTTTTGTCATTGTGACATTAGGAATATCTCGAAATGATTGAAAGTACTTCTCATACCAGGGTTAAGCATGCTTATATGAGACTAGTCATAGGATGAGTGACCCACTATAAAGTTTCTCAATGTGCACATGAGTGACGATAAAGTCCGTTATAAATGATTGCACTGGTTTGTGAGGATAATACTAAATCTGAATGGGATCGAAAAGTAACTATCTTGGACTCTGTAAGGTCAAGGTGTTACAAATTGATTCTATCGTTTCCCAATATGATATCATACAATATATTATACTTGGTCTTTGACATGAGTACCATCATTTCTCACCGTCATGACTCTATTTCCCGAGAATTTCAAATTTGATCACTTGCACTCAAAACTACTACCTCATTAGCAACAAGTGGTCTATCTCTGAGCCACACATGGGACTCTCATCATCATGCTTTTCTTAGAAATATAGGACCTTCATGACCTCCCAAAAGAATCATGGCTCGACTAGAGGTGATTATAATTGACGTCGTGGAAGGCGTGACCACATTAGGTGCAGAGGTACGAGGTCGCGAGAATAGAGGATAGCTGCAGAGTGGCGACCAACTTTCTCCAGAGATCCTCACATTGAATATTCTAGAAACTTACAACATCTTGTAATTCACTTTTGCCATACTCTCATTATTCCCCATATTCTTTTGGCACTAATTCTAACTCTGCATGCACCACCTAGATCAATTTGTGTACAATTTCATCACATACAAGGCGACAATAATCAAATTCAATATGTTTGGTCTAGTTATGAAAGACATAGTTATTTGTGTTATGAAGAGCTGCAAAGGAGCAGCATCACATCCGTAAGAAATATCCATAGGCTACGCAAGAAACTTGTAAGCTACTTCAATTCACATATAAATGATGTTGTGGACTCATAGAACGATAGTCAACGTCACTATACGAGGAAAACACAATCAGTTCTTTCTTAGTCTTCCACTCTCCCTAGAAACGTGAAAACATTCAAGTTGAACAAACTACCTTGTAATCAATATTAGCTGTGAAAAAATATCTGAAAATGATTTCCTTAAATATATGAAATTAAAAAACATGCACGATCGAATCTCAATGCCCCTATCTGGGTGACTGGATCAGATGAGTTGTGAAATAATGTAAACACAGTAAGATAACTTTGGGCATGTAGCAAATAAATACTCCTTTCGTCCCTATATTATCTTCAAACTTTCTTTTTTCGCCCATCTCAAAATTATCTTCTCTTTCCCTTTTTGCAAAGAATTTGTGGTTCACAATCATTCTTACACATTCTTACACATTTCTCTCTCCTCTGCACAACTCTCCACCACACAAAACACACTATCTTAACTTGTGTGCATTGTCAAAGGAGGAGATAATATAGGGACAGAGGGAGTATACAAAACTTCCTATTAACTTTCACTAGGTATCAGGGCCAGTAGGAGAAGGGTCATCGACATATGGAAGCTAGTGATTAGATTGCAAATGGAGGCTTACAGGTTTGACTCAAATAATTTCCACTGCATATATATTTTCTTTGGCTCAAATAAATTCAGGTGGAGTTATGAGCCACCTCAATGTCAAAGAAAAAAATCAAGTGGTCTAAGCCCATCATATGGTAGATAGAATGCATGCAAATAATATATAAAAAGATGTATACCATATGGGTGGCGGCAAAAGATAATTAAATCATTTGCGTACATCAAAGCATGAAAAGAAAAGTCCTCAAAGTCAAAATTAAAAAACAATAATAAGACCTTCAAATGAGAGAATCCATTTTTAAGAGCAACATAAAGCTTGACAACCAAGCACCTAAAATCTTGCTCGAGTCTATATAAATGTTTATTCAAGATATATGCATAGGTTCCTGAGACTGAAGAACAAAATCAAGCAGGAAATGCACAACTTAATGTACATTTCCTCATGTAAGTTGTGTGCAATTAGTTCTTGACTCTTTGTGAATGTCTTTCTAATGTAAAAGGGCTATATTAATCCTCTACTGGCTACATGGTTATTCTCCAACATCTTCAGACGAGCGCAATGGGTACAATAGTTTTCTTCTCTAGATCTTTCTAGAGTTTGATAATTTTGATTGTTATCAATCTTGGAATAAACTGTTCTATTTATGTTTCAGCATCAATCGTGCATATGGTCTCCTTATGTGCTCAGATTGGGGTGGCTTGCCCCCTCGATCTAAACCACCATCGTGCTAAGAAGATGGATGGTGTGGATTAATTTCTTTGTGGGGCTGGTGAAACCTAGATAACTTTTAAATTGACTCCTTACGTTAGATGAAAAAACCAGTAACACTACTGGCTCTAAACCACCATCGTGCTAGCAAGATGCCTTTTTTTCTCTTCTTTCAATAACTCATTAAACTGTTCCTTTATATTATAACCAAGAGTCCCATATAGAAGATTAATTTTATAGTAGAAGTAACTCAAGATCTTATATATAACTACCTCCGTCCCGTTGAAAGGTTCCCATGGCAAAACGGCACAGTTATTTAGACAATAATTAAATAAGGTAATTCAAGTATATTTTGAGAAATACTTTTTATAGTGTTGAGTATGTGGTTTTGTTGATGACTAACCATGCAGATGGAACGGGGGACAGAACCGACTACGGAGAGTTCTAATATGAACTCTGGACAGAACAGTTCCACGAAACATTCGGTCCCATAATTTAGTATGCGTCTGCATGTGCATGTCTTTCAACGTATGATATTTTACATGCATTAATACCTTTCTATAATTGATTAAATATTTTGTGAAATGTATTGTTACATATGCTTTATGGAAAGTCACTTTATGGAAAGTAATATGAGTGCATTATTGCATGACCATATAATATTATACGTAATTGTGCTTCATAAAAGTAATTGTGCTTTTTACTTTATGACAAGTAATTTTGGGTTGACCATAGCATTAATGAATTAAATATCTTGCCTTATGGAAGATTACCGTAAGTGGCTTTTTCCTTTTGAAATAAATATTTCTTACCATACCAATTACATTGCCTTCCATGATTGAATTATTTGTGTGAGATCTTTGCATATAGTAAGTTACACGTAGCATCATTACTTGCATATCTTTAAGTAATCATTGACCACTTTATTGCTCTCTTGCTATAATAAGAGAATAAATTATTCCTTGCCATATTATTGTTGGAACCGTTGCTGCATAAGATACTCTCCCAAGTTGATGTGCTCTTATGTGTTATTTGAATATCTTGAATATTTTTATTGATATGGTCCGTTGCTTGACTAAAGCATGTTAAGTAAATCAATATTATTTCCTTATATGTTGACTCGTGAATCTTGAGCAAATTTACTCATATTTGAGACCGAATAAAGAGAGCTACTCTAAGGAAAGTAATTCAAAATATCAAGGCAAGTCTCAAGATTAGGAGATCAACTATTCAAGGAGGATTATTCAAACGGTCTGCCCTAAACAAGTCTATATAAACGAAGCAGCCAAAGAGAAATATAGTGTGCTTGACCAGAGAAATATTCAGAGACACACTCGAGAAAAATACGAAGTTCAAGGCACCTGAAACTGCTCACTCGGAGTTCTAGATAGAGTTTCTTCTTTCCCTTCTTCATATTGTAATGGGGTTTTGAGGATTGGCTAAGAGTAGCCTCCTCGGGTTGGTTTGTGTGTGTGAGAGCTTTGTTGTAAAGCTGAGAGGCTCTCTACCCGCAAGGTAGAGATGCATAACTCTTCCTAGAGAGGATAGAGTTGGGGTGGCTCAAGGGTAGACTAGGA